AAACACATTCGCTAGGACAGTCAAGGAAATAGCATTTGCTTCCAACAAACGCAGCACCACACGTTAAAAAGAGAAATAGTTGAATACTAACTCACAGACTAACAAAAGTAAATACAGACCTTGGGCTAAGAAGGCACTTTGCACATCCCCATCATAATTTTTGCATGCCCAAACATAACCTCCTTCACTTTTGAGAGCATAAGCAACCATGTCGTCAATAAGACGATGCTCATACCTTCAAATCAGAGTACTAATTAGTTGAACATCACCGAACCTACAGAAACTAATCAGCTTGGATGACAAGTTATCTCACCAAATCCCTGCAGCTTCATATCTTGATCTCCAATGAGCTTCATAAGCTTCCTGGAAGATGTCCTTGAACCTTCATTAAATTCAAGAGTAAGAAAATGGCAATAAAAATCCTGTAGTGAAACGTTACATCATAGTCACACCGACTCATAATGTACCATGGGTAATTATGAAAAGAAAAGACTGCACGGTGAAAGATGAAAGACAACAGGATAACATCATATTTCTTCAGAATAGTATTTTTAGCGCTAAGATAAAGTGGCCACTTTTTCTAGTATGCAGTGTTCATGGAAGCCTCAGCAAAAGCACAGATAGACTGCTCTCACAATTTAAGCAGAATAAAAATAGTTGTTAAATCATTTACAGAGGTAACCAGTTTACCAGAACATTTTATTTCTGCTTAAACGGAAAATTTGAACCTCTTCCATCTTCTACATGGACAATGCTATGCCTCCAGCACCAGTAAATTTGTAAACCTCCCACTCTGTCTGCTCATAGGCCCATCAGGTACTGCAAAGCAATTGTTAAGATAATAACGTACCTATATGGTGTGTGTGTGTGTGTAAGAAAAGCTCACCAGATTAACTTCTATACAAGCACTTTAAACAGTCAGAAGTCAAACTCAGAAATCTTGAAGCTCTCTACTGAATTACCAAAAACCAATTTAAGTTTTCTAGGTTCTTCTATGATTGCATCAGTTGCTCGGTACTGATCACCAAAAGCATGTCTCCCAATACATATTGGCATTGTCCAACCTGAAATGTTCACTAACTTATAGTTCTTTTGACAATGATACAAAGGCAAATTTAGATGACAAACTTGTAGCAAACCTGGAACAAGACGGGGAACATTTCTGCAGAATAGGTTCTCTAAAAACAATACCGACAGAACACCAAAATGCATTGGCTACTTACAATCGGTCAAACAAAGAATATACAATGGTGAATACTAAATATTGAGGGAATATTCAATTGACCGTTTAAAATGTTCCGTATGGTCCCATTTGGACTCCTCCACATCTGTTTCAAGTTGAACTCCTTCACACGAGTTTCATCTATAAATATCCAAATAAATGATCCAGATCATCACAATAGTACGTTGGCCAAATCATGTCCATGAAAAAGGGCCAAGTAGTCCATTTATTAAGGAGAAATGCACATTGTCTCTAAATTTAAGAATCTATATAATACCTGGAGTTATAGTTGCGCACTTTATTGCTACATTGTACCTACGATAACAAGCAAAAACAGGAAGCAAATTTATACAACAAAAATAAAGGAGCATCAACAGGTGATAAAGTAATTTTCATGAAAAAATTAGTTTCAATAAAGATGATAATTGTTTCAATAGAATATGACAAATTGTGCCTAGCACGAACAATTTGACTTGTCATTCCGTTCAAAAGTACATGACAAACTCATGTCGAGCCCATTTAAACATGCCAAACTCGTGCCAGTAGAAAAGGAAAAAGAAAGCAGCAACAACTAAAATGAAGTGAAGAAAAACAGTAATGTTCATGAAGCGTAGTTGAGTATAGCAAAGCCACTGTGAAGGGAGAATGATAGGGCACACTTAAGAGTAGCTTCGGTACTTTCAATTGTGACTCTATCATTGGTGGCATCGCGATTAAGAATCCCAAGGTCGAAGTACTTGATATCCAACTCCAGGAAGGGAAAAATAAGCTGTGGAACACGAAAACAAGTTGCAGATTCATCAACAACTCTATGAAATCACAGGGAACACATGATAACAAAATTACCTTGTCTTTTATCCATGTCCAGAACACCCGAGTCATTTCATCTCCTGCATCACGGAAAATAATGCATCATAGCTTAAACATAGATAACAAAAAGTTGAATAAATCAGAATCAGTACAGCTCCAAGCCTCCGGCAAAGATATATACATCTCAATTCAGATGTTGCATTGCATCTATGTCCTTACCCTCTAATAAGATAATTTGCACGCAATTCGGCTCAAACGAACAAAAAAGAAGTTTAATCATTTAAATCTATGAGCTCAGAAACATCATAGTAGTGGACTGGTGGGTAAGGCAAGAAAGCCCACAAATTGACCAAAATCCTGTAATTCTAAGATCATCTACTTTTATGGAGCATGATAGTTGGGGTGTCCTTAAAACATGGATTGAAGGGCATGCTCTGATCAATGGGATCATCCAAAAACACCACTTTGATCATTTGTATAATGTCTATCCATCCATATTTTCCAGATTAATTCAAGCATTCAAAAAAGCAGAGAAACATGCCATTTTTGAGCAGCTTAAACAAGAGTTCGCAACAAAACAATGGCGGAAAATAGAAATCAGAGAATCAGATGGAAGTGGAGAGAAATCGTACCGTCCATTTCGACAATTGGGTTGGTCACCTTTATCTTATCGAACGCCTCCATTTCTCCCCTGACACCAAAACAGGTCAAAGTTTCGTGCCTTTTGCTTCGAAAGCTTTCGGCTTTGGCGAGAGAAAACAGAATCAGCGAAGAAAAGTGAATATTTGTTGTTTACTTAATGAAATTGAAAGGTCGGAGGCTGAAATGGGAACTTAGAAATGAGAGTGCGTGATGACAAAAACGTTGTATTTCTCGTTCAGATTGAAAGTAGTGAGGTATCAGAAGAGCGTGTCAAGAATTGCTCACTCACTGTCGTTCATTTGGATTAACTAAAGGAAGAGATCCTCTCCGGATCTCTCCCACAAAACCATCTAGTCCACTCATTTAGATCTTTGAAATTTGATCAAACAACTAAAATTATTATAACTTTTAAAGAGCCCTGTTTGTACCATTAGATCAAAATTTAAGGATCCGGATAAATGGACTTGATGGTTTTGGTGAGAAAGATGCGGAGAGGATCTCTTCCTATTAACGAGGAGCAACACTAACATTTTTACTATTCTATTTATCTATTTTTTAATAAAAGAACTTTTTATTTACACGGGTGTTTCTTTTGAAATATTTTATTTTCTGTCCAACTAATTTTACATATTTCATCAAACCTACTATACTCAATCCTGTTTTCCAATCTCTTGCTAACGCATCGTGAGAGTTCAAAGTTGAGACGTCTTTTAACACAAAGAGAAGTATTAATATAGCTAGATTTTTTTGTTTTTGGTCAAACTAAATTACTTCCATTAATTAGAAAGACTAGTACAAGAAGGCAACCCATTACCTAAATACAAGCCCAGCGACAAATAAGAAAATACAGTAAATAGGCGTAGGCCCAAAGTGGCCAGCTAAACAACAACAAAAAAACCCTCAGACTGAAATGGAAACCAGCAGCCACTAGATTTCCCTCCATTGCAAGGCCACCACCACCATCAAGAGGACGAACCAACGAAACAACTGGATCAACGGAAAAAAGTGCTGAAATTAAAAAAACTTTTTGAGTGGAAGGATGGGGGAAGGATGAAGGAAAGAAGGGGGAAAAGGGAAGATGCAAAGAGTAGAGATGGATGGAAAGAAAAGATGGGGAAAGAGGGAAGCTACAGGGAAAAGATGGGGAAAGAGGGAAGCTACAGGGGGTGGAGAAGGAAGAGGAAGAGGGAAGAAAGGCTAGAAAGAGGTGGGAGTCGGGTTGCCGCCAACCCCAAGTCAGAGTAAGGAGTGGCGGCTAGGAGGGTTTCTTTTTTCCTGAAGGCAGAGGGAAATAAAGGTTTTAGAGAGAGAGGTTTTTTCTGTCACTAGATTAATAGCTAGTTAGTATACCTTTTTGTGCCCTGAGTTGTGTTATGTATAGTCATGGACAAAGCGTCTAGGGTGCTCTAGAGTACCATACTCCAGGTGTTTCAACTATTTGATCTTGATTTTTATACTTTTAAATAAAGATTTAACAATTAAAACATCTGGAGTACCATGTAATCTAGAGCAATCAAGAAAGTCCCTAGTCATGCATGGTGGGTCTCCTTAGTATTTCTCGTTGTGCCGGGGTGGCCTCTTGGTTGTCGTTAGAATTTTTCATCATACCTCATCAATGTGAATAGTTGTCTCATGTTGGAAAGTGTATAAGTTATGCAACGACTTATGTGGAGTTGTAATACCCTCTTATTGTCAATTAACTTTAAAGTGGAACTTTAATTTCATGGTATTAGAGTCTCGCGTATTTTTATTTTTTTGTTTTTAGTATTTTATATTTCGAATATTCACTTTGGGTTTCAGAATAAACCCACTTTGCAGTCCCAAAGGCCTGCTCAAGTAGGCATCTTTACCAAGTGCAAGGAGATGCCTAAACAAGTCAAGGGTAGAGAATATTATACAAGACAGTACTGCTATCTCCCCATACAAATTCTAAACATGTTTCTATGACAGCATACAATATCCAGGAGTTATATCATTAACACAATCTACTTTTCAATTCAGCCTGAGGAGTTCCATAATCAGCACGAAATTCCGAAGCAACGGAACAAGTATTAGTCCTACTTTGAACAGTTTGACAGTATGTTACACCAGACCAGATACAAATCATATACAATGTAGTACACATCGACAAATCCTTAAACAGAAATCGACGCATATACACGCGAAAGAATGACACACAAAACTTTAGATGCAATTTCCATCCCTATATATGTGTTGTTATTTCCCCTTGCCTAGAAAGAAATCAATAGTATTCTGCTAACAAATGTTTTCTCTGTGAAACCCTCAACATGTAATGATAAGTATATATATCATTGGGTTACAACGTTTTGCTCTTTGTACAATGTAGTTTTCCTCCCGAGAATGTAAAATATCATCCTAAAGGAGTGCTAGAAGTACTCAAAATCTACATAAGATGAATCATTACTACCGTTCTTCTTATCACTTCCCACATCTGTCATCTTTTTGTCTGCAGAGTTCGCCTCCTTGCTGGCATATTGTGAAAAGTTTACCGGTTCAGGAACATGGGGAGGCGTGGCACATCTCACCAGAGCCCATTTCACTCCCTCGAAAAATGGGTGTTGCTTTATTTCTGTGGCACCCCTTTTGTACGCAATTCGTTTATGTGGTTCATTCACCAAGAGTCCTCGTATGAGATTACGCACCACAACGCTTACTTGTGGTGTTTCTGGGAATTTCAGAGGCTGGCCTACAACGTTGAAGAGCGTGGGACGACTTCCTTGACCTTTGAAGGGGGTTGTCCCATGTAAGAGCTCGTATAAGAAGATACCAAATGTCCACCAGTCCACTGCACTTCCATGGCCCTCTCCGCGAATAATCTCTGGGGCTAGATATTCGTGTGTTCCAACAAATGACATGGAACGCACATTTGTACGCTCTGCCATCAGTTCAGGGAGGGATCCATTAGTCGAAAGGCCAAAATCTGATTTGGATTTCCGGTTTTTCTTGGTAGGTAAAATGCGTGGAAAGAAATTGGAAGGCTGCATACAACCATGCACAGCAAGGTCATCGTCTAAAATGCCCCCGCCACCACCACCACCACCGGCAGCACCACCATTGCTTACATGGGCAGATGAAGACTTGACTAGTGTAGGATTGACAGAACAACGGAGTGAGAGATCGAAGTCTGAGAGCATGATATGACCCTCGTCTCTTACTAGAACATTTGCTGGTTTCCTCTTTTTTATCGTAAAATATTTAGAATGGAAACGTGAGAGTTGAACACTAGCCATGAGTGCGGCAGTAGGTGTTCTTACCACCAGACCCATTTTAACAAAGTTCAGTAAACCTCTTTATGGGGTTTAAATTATTTCCGTACTGTACTACCAGCGTATACTCAATATAAATGAATCGTAAATATTTTATTTGATCCTTATAGGGATTTTCCTTTTGCTTTCTGTTCATTGCAGTACCTAACTCGCTGTTTCTGGTCTGTATATTTTTGTAAGACATAAAGAAAGAATAGTCGGAAAAAATCTGCATAAGCTATAGAGAGCAAATCGCAGGATGGATGAAGAGCCAAAACACTGGAGAAAGTTGCTACTGTGACTATGGAAACCTGAAAGAAGATGATGGCAATGCCAAGCTGCCTTCACATTCAAATTTTGTGGTTTAGTACTATAGTAAAGATTGTCGTGTATGTATACATGTGTTAATGTGGAAAATCTTATGTATATTTCATGTATGAAATGGTTTACAAGATCAACCATAAATAGAAGTGGAATACTAGACAGAAAGTAGAGGAATGGTGCGGACTGAGATGGCAGCTCAGCAAGCATTGAGATGGCAGCTCAGCAAGCATAATTGAAGCACTATCTCTAACTTAAACTAATACCTAGCTTTACATGATGAGGGAACCTAGCCGAAAGTAAGAAAGTAAGATGACAATGAGTACAATGACAACTAGACAACCCTACCACCAATAATAATAGATACTTCAATACTCCCCCTCAAGCTGGATCGAGAGTTCTTCTGGATCCAAGCTTGAAGAGAAGACGATCAAGTTGTGCAGAAGGCAGAAGCTTGGTGAACACATCGGCAAGTTGATCACTGGAGCGAACAAATACAGTTTGTAATAGCTTGGACTGAACTTGGTTGCGAACGAAATGACAGTCAACCTCGATGTGCTTTGTGCGTTCATGGAAGACGGGGTTGGCAGCAATATGCATTGCTGCCTGATTGTCACAGTGAAGAAGAATTGGTTTGGAGGAGATGATTTCAAGATCACGTAGCAACCTCTTTAGCCAAATTAGTTCGCATGCAGTCGATGCCATTGCACGGTACTCAGCTTCTGCGCTTGACCGAGCTACAACAGATTGCTTTTTGCTTTTCCACGTAACGAGATTACCACCAACAAGAGTGCAGTAACCAGTTGTGGATTTGCGATCAAGAACATTGCCTGCCCAATCAGAGTCTGTGTATCCTTCAATGGTGAAGTGTCCGTTGTTTTGCATGAAAATCCCAGTAGATATTGAGCTTTTCAAGTATCGAAGGATCCTTTTAACTAGTTGCAAATGATGAGATGAGGGAGAATGCATGAACTGGCTGACAAAGCTAACAGCATAAGCAATGTCAGGTCGGGTTATAGTCAAATAGATAAGTTTTCCTACCAACCTTTGATACTCCGATACATTTTCAAGCTGGATGCCTGAGGTTTCATCCTTGAAATTTGTTGGTAGTGGTGTTTTGGCAGGCTTGCAATGCAACATATTTGCTTCTTCTAAAAGATCTAGAACGTACTTTTGTTGATTTAGAAACAAACCAGTTGGAGATTGATCCATTTCGATTCCAAGAAAGTATCGAAGTCTGCCAAGATCTTTGATTTTGAATGTTGAATGTAGTGTGGCTTTGAGGGCAGTTATTTCTTCTGGATTATCTCCCGTGACAATAAGATCATCAACATAAACAAGTACCACCAATCTTCCATGCGTACCAATCCTAGTGAACATTGAAGAATCTGCATTGCTTCGTTTAAAGCCGGATGACATAAGGACAGAACTAAGTTTTGAGTACCAAGCCCTTGGAGATTGCTTGAGACCATAAATAGCCTTGTGAAGCTTGCAGGCTATTCCTTGTTCCTTCTCTCGTTCATGACCAGGTGGTAGTCGCATGTATACCTCTTCTTCTAACTCTCCATGTAGGAAGGCATTTTTTACATCCATTTGATGTAGAGACCAGTTTGAATTGATAGCCACCGAAAGAAGCACTCGAACTGTGTTCATCTTTGCCACAGGGGCAAAGGTTTCTTTGTAATCTACTCCGAAGGTTTGTGTGAAGCCCCTTGCAACTAACCTTGCCTTGTGCCGCTCTATGTTTCCATCTGAGTGAAATTTGGTCTTATAAATCCATCTTGCCCCAACCACATGTTGACCTTTTGGCAGAGAAACAATGCTCCAAGTTTGATTTTCATCAAGTGCCTTCAGTTCTTCAAGCATGGCTTGCCTCCATACAGGAGATTGGTGTGCCTCTTCGAAGGATCGAGGCTCAGAATTTTGGGACAACCTGGTCACAAAGGCAGCATGAGATGAAGAGCTCTTGCTATGAAAAACCATTTGTCCAATAGGATGTCTAGGCGTGTAGATTTCAAAATCATCAAGCCTGGCTGGAGGTTGTCTGTTTCGAGAAGGATTCCTTCGTGGAGGAGGAGGTTGTTCAAGTTGAGGCTCTCTCCTTTCGAGAATGACTTCTTCATTATCTGCTTCCATATTTTCAGGAGCTGGCTCTACTTCAACAGCTTCATTTTGTGGTGTTGACAGCCTTGTATCATCAAGGAAGAGAGGAGTAGGAAACACTTCATATGAGGACTCCCCCTGAGATTCATCATCATGCATTTGAAAAAAAGAGTGAGTTTCATCAAAACGCACATCCCTGGATACACATACCTTTCTGGTCTTAGGATCGTAGCATTTGTATCCCTTTTGGGACGTTGAGTAACCTATGAATGCACATTTGATAGCCCTTGGATCAAGTTTATCTCGGTGAATAGTTTGAATGTGCACATAGCATACACATCCAAACACACGGAGATGACTTATGTCAATTTCTCTCCCCTTGAGAATTTGGTAGGGAGATTTGAACTTCAATATTCTGCTAGGAAGGCGATTGATGATGTATGCAGCGGTTTGTACAGCTTGAGACCAGAACTTCTTTGGAACTTTTGCTTGTAACATTAGTGATCGTGTTTTTTCAAGCAAATCTCGGTTCTTTCTTTCTGAAATGCCATTTTGTTGTGGCGTTCCTACACAACTTGTTTGTTGCAAAATTCCATGCTCACTTAAGTAAGTTGTCATGATTTTGGAAGTGTACTCAGACCCATTATCAGACCTTAAGATGCCAATTTTAGAGTTAAAATGATTTTGAATTAATTTATGAAAACTTTTGAAACACTGGAAAGCTTCATGCTTGAATTTAAGTAAATACACAAAAGTAGTTCTAGAGAAATCATCAATGAACGATATGTAAAATCTGTAACCATCAAAGGACTCTAAGGTGGCAGGTCCCCAAATGTCAGAATGGATTATTTCAAAGGCTTTGGTAGCTCTAGAGAGAGAGTGAGGAAAGGGTAACCTGGTGAACTTAGATTTTTGACAAACTTCACAATCTGGAATCATTTTACAGAAACTAGGAAAAAGAAAAGACATAACATGTGAAGAAGGGTGAGCTAATCTCATGTGCCACAGCTGCTCCTTGTTTACAGTGCTTGAGTTTACGTAGAAACTTTTTGGGAAACTTGAAGAGAATTTGACATAGTACAGTCCATTGAGGAAGAACCCTTTACCAATCGTTTCCTTCGAAACTTGGTCCTGGAAAATCACAGAGTGAGTTGAAAATATTGCAAGACAATTTAGCAAATGTGTTATTTTTCCTACTGACAATAGTTTGAAAGGAAAAGACGGGACATGCATGACAAGGGACTCTTTTTGACTCGAGAAGATTTTGAGTTTCCCTCTGCCTACTATACGAACTTTGGTGCCATTAGCTACGGAGACAAAAGAAGGGGTGGAGAAGTTTTGAAAATCATTTAGTAAAGATGCATCGTTAGTCATGTGATCTGTAGCTCCTGAGTCAACTATCCAAAAATCACAACTACTACTAAGATCCAAAGCAGTGGAGATAGTTGCAATAATACCTGGCATGTCATTTTGTGACACTGAGTTTGATTGTTCGAGGAAGCCAGCAAACTTGCCGAGCATGGCTGAAGGAGTTTCATGATTTGTTGCTCCTTGTTTCTGTTGCAAGAAGTTAGCGAATTCATTTATGAGAGCAATGGGACTAGAGGAAGAGTTTATCACATTATTGGAGACATTCTCGCAAACAAGATTTCCTCTAGGGGTGTAGGCAGGCTTCATTTGGTTTCTTGGTGCTCTTCCATCGTCATTGAACTTAGGTTTAAGTTCTGGATAAAGAATCCAGCACTTCTCTTTTATGTGTCCAATACCTGTACGACCGATCTTCACACAGTGAGAACATTTTAAGTCTGGTCGTTTTCCCTTGTATGGTCTGGAGAAGGTGAAGGCTCTTGCTTCTGATGGCCTAAAAGTTGATTCTCCAACGACCATGTCTGCGTTCATGACCTTCTTTCTTACTTCTTCACGTTGAATAACGTTGCAGACCATCTGTAAAGTGGGAAGTTCAGGTGTCATTAAGAGATGGCTTCTAAGATCTTCATAATCTGGTCCAATGCTGGCAAGCAACTGGAACACTTTGTCTTCTTCAGCACGCTTTAAAAGAATGATTGTGTCCGTGGTGTGAGGTCTGTAGAGATCCAATTCATTCCATTTTGCCTTCAAGTTGCCAAGATGTTGAACAAAAGAGAGATTTCCCTGTTGTAATTCCGTAAGATCTTTCTTCAGCTGAAAGACTCTCGCAGCATTGTTTAGATCTCCATACATGTCTCGTACGGAGTTCCAAAGTTGGTGAGATGATACTGAGTAGCTGAAAATCTCAGCCATCTTTGGTTCCATAGAGTTTAACAGCCAAGACATGATAAGTTGATCTTGGGATACCCATGCTGCATAATCCGGTGCAGTTGTTTCGGGGATGATGTCATCCCTTTGAATGAATGGGAGCTTTCCACGTCCTCCAAGAGCGAGAGAAATGGCTCGTGACCAGGGCAGGTAGTTGAATTCGTTTAGAAGCACTGAGCTCAAACGTTGAATTGGATTGGTATCCATGGTTTCGTTTTTTGAAGTTTTTTCTGCTGGTATGGCCATAATGACTCAACTGGTTTGGATTTGGTGGGATTTTCGGAAGAACACAGAAGCAGGTCCAAGCGGAATCACTGCTCTGATACCATGTGGAAAATCTTATGTATATTTCATGTATGAAATGGTTTACAAGATCAACCATAAATAGAAGTGGAATACTAGACAGAAAGTAGAGGAATGGTGCGGACTGAGATGGCAGCTCAGCAAGCATTGAGATGGCAGCTCAACAAGCATAATTGAAGCACTATCTCTAACTTAAACTAATACCTAGCTTTACATGATGAGGGAACCTAGCCGAAAGTAAGAAAGTAAGATGACAATGAGTACAATGACAACTAGACAACCCTACCACCAATAATAATAGATACTTCAATAGTTAATTTATCAGTCGGACTGTTCATGAGATTTAAATTCATGACCTCCTCGGACAATATCGAAAACTGTACTACTAATCCAAGTGGGTCATTGACTCATTGGCGATTGATGTATGTATTTTTTTTTTTTTTTTTTGTGATGTATGTGTTTTTCTTATGCGAAAATGGTTGTATGTTTGATGTTTAAGCATATTCGAAACCGATAAAGAAAAATTACCTAAGAAATATAAATCTTGTTAATTGTGTTCCCCGATGCAAGGTTAGTGCCAAATAATAAACAAGAGCGGTTAATGATGCAACTTTTAAAGTGAAGGGTATTTTACCCCCGGAAACATCATTGTAACGAAAAAAATGTTGGAGACCCACGTCGGATTAAGTCTCAAATATCTATTATTGGTTTGTAAGTAAGTAGGATATTAAAGTGATTGACGTGTGGTGGAGCCTTGACAAAGTGGGTATATGATGTTTGAAACCTGCTCACCATCGGTTAGTGTATGAGATCACATTAAGCACTTCCTAAGCTAATTAGGTTAGTGGCACTTCATTCATTATGAGTAGATAGCAAACAAGCACAACTATGAATCGATTGGTTAGGCCTATGGCCCATGCTCCACAGATGACAAATACCTTACCTAGCTTGCTGTGTGGCCAAACTCCCTTGTCTGCTACCCGATTAGTGTCCTTTTTAACCTTAGTCATAGTAGAGTAAAGATAACCGTATGTATATACATGTGTTTTTAATTCATCAACTTTTTTTTTTTTTTTTTTTTTTTTTTTTTATATACAAGCGAGAGTAAAAGATGGTGAAATCAAACCTTGAACTTTGGGTGCAAAGGAAATTGGAAATTCTCTTAACAATGCTTGAGTCACAAATCACTTCCTATGAAATTCAAACAATCAGCTCATCCCAACAAAATTGATGTATATTTCTTTTTATCTTTTCTTTTATCATGTGAATCAAATCTAGATGAGATTCAAACTTAGAAACTCCTCCTAAAAATATTGGAGGATTGGTACCATTAATCAAAATGGTCGTTGGTGATTGATGTACTTTGAAGGTTTATTAAATATGAGAGGTTTGTAACTCAATTGTTTAAGAATATTTCTGCTTGTAATCAAGGCACCTAATATGTTTTTTAATCTGACGTTAAATTCTTTAATCTTAATTTTAAGATCATTCCTATAAAAAATCAATATTTAGTGTGTGAGGTCCCATGAAGCATGCCCTAACCCATCGACTTGGGCACCCCACCCATGATAAAGTGGGTAGCAAATGCAAACCGTTTCTTGTTTGGTCTCAACTAAAGAACGGAAGATGCTGAGACAATGAGACCTAGTGATCCTAGATGAAACATGAAACCTTTTTCGCACGGAAACAAAATCCAAGCAATTTAAACTTATAAAGAAATACGACTTTTGAGTCCCACATCGGGTAAACCTTGGTTGCCACAACTGTTTTATAAGGAATTGCATTAAACTTGAGTATTGCCGAGCCTAGTAACATAGGTTTATAACTAAGTAGGGCATTAAAGTAATTGATGGGTGATGGAATCTTGGTCAAGTGAAGTTTATGGTGTTTGAAATCTGTTCACCACTCTTGTGAAGTCACTTTAAGCACACCCTAAACCCCTCAGGTTAGTAGGGGCATCCCACCCTTACGAACGGGGTAGCAAACAAACAAAAACATAATGCAAACACAGTTTGAATCGACTGAGACCCCCCGATGGGGTAGCGCAGATGAAAGCTACCTAACCTCGGTGTGCTGCTTTGCCGGACTCCTCATCCTACAATCACCTTTTTTTGCTTGTTGAATCTTCTTCAATCATGACATGGAGTCGAAGGGTATAAAAACAAATTGTGTGATTGTTAGTTTAATTCTTCAGTGTGTGTAAGATGGGCATGCCTTCTGAAGCGGTGGATCAGTTTACAGAATATAAGAACTTCGGTATCTATCTTGACGAGGTTTCGTAGAATTTCTTGAAGGGATGAAGTGTAAGCATATGGTTTTAGACATTATGCATTACACAACATTGAGCTCATATTAAGCATGTTCTAAGCTACTCAGGTTAGTGACACTTCATTCATTATGAGTAGATAGCAAACAAGCACAACTATGAATCGATTGGTTGGGCCCATGGACCATGTTCCACAGATGAAAAATATCTTACCTAGCTTGCTGTTCGGCCAAACTCCCCTATCCGCCACCTGATTAGTGTCTTTTTTAACATTAGTCACAGTAGAGTAAAGTTAACGTTTGTATATACATATGTGTTTTTAATTCATCAACTCTTTTTTATTGTTTTTATTTTTTTATATACAAGCGAGAGTAAGGAGATGGTGAAATCACACCTTGAACTTCAGGTGCAACGGAAATTCTCTTAAATTTGAGTCACAAATCACTTCCTATGAAATTCAAACCATCAGCTCGTCCCAACAAAATTGATGTATGTTTCATTTTATCTTTTCTTATATTATGTGAATCAAATCTAGATGAGATTCAAACTCAGAATCTCCTCCTAAGAAAATCGGAGGATTGGTACCATTAATCAAAATGGTTGTTGATGATTGATGTACTTTCAAGGTTTAATTAAATATAAGAGGCTTGTAACTCAATTGTTTAGGAATATTTCTGCTTGTAATCAAGGCACCTAATAAGTTTTTTAATCTGACTTTAAATGTTTTAATCTTAATTTTAACATCATTCCTAAAAAAAACCACTATTTGGTGTGTGAGGTCCCATGAAGCGTGCCCCAACCCATCGACTTGGGCAGCAAGTGCAAACAGCTTCTTGTTTTGGTCTCAAATAAAGAACAGAAGATGACAATGAGACCTAGTGATCCTAGATCAAACATGAAACTTTTATCGCACGGAAACAATATCTAAGGAATTTAAACTTTTAAAGAAATATGACTTTTGAGTCCCACATCGGGTAAACTCTGGTTGCCACAGCTGTTTATAAGGAATTGCATTAAACTTCAGTATCGCCGAACCTGGTAGCGCAGGTTTGTAACTAAGCAGGGCATTAAAACGATTGATGGGTGATGGAATCTTGGTCAAGCGAGGCCATGATGTTTGAAATCTGTTCACCACTCTTGTGAAGTCACTTTAAGCACGCCCTAAGCCCCTCGGGTTAGTAGGGGCACCCCACCCTTACGAGCGGGGTAGCAAACAAACAAACACACAATTCAAACACAGTTTGAATCCGACTGAGACCCCCCCGATGGGGTAGCGCAGATGAAAACTTCCTAACCTCGGCGTGCTGCTTTGCCGGACTCCTCATCCTACAATCACCTTTTTTTTGCTTGTTGAATCTTCTTCAATCAACTGTTACACGATCATTGCAACTGCAAACCTCTCAATTTCCCAAAACAACGATAAAGTTTGTTCCGACAAACAAGTCCCCCATCGCCCATCGGAGACAAACTTATTTGCTCAAGTGTTTGTAAGGTAGTACACTGAGACTAATTATTTCCGGGCATGGTAACGTGTACTTGTAACCAAACGGAGATTACAACTTTGTCTCTGCTAGACAATCTAGCTCTCAACTCATCAGCCACGGCGTCAATGAATTCTTCGGCATTCAGATACTGAGACCAAGTTACCCTACACGAAGCATGAAACTTTTTATCATACAGAAACAGAAAACGCATCTGAAAGTTGCCGACAAAATACGACTCTCGACAACACTTACTTAGGGCCATGGATGAGGAGTGCAATATCCTTGGTCATCTTCCCAGATTCGACAGTTCCTACGCAAGATGCTTCAAGTTTCTCTGTAAAATCTAAGAGTCTGGCATTGCCATCTAACTTTGCCCTGATACGAGAACACAGGTTTACTCAAACTCTTATCTGATGTTTCAAACAATTTCTAAACGTAGACACAAAATCCAAATACTGACTTTCAATCACCAGACTACATACTGAGCTAATACCTGTGTGCAAGACCTCGTGACCATGCAAAGATCGAAGCTATGCTGTTTGTGCTTGTTTCGCCTCCTCTCTGGTGGACCCGGTAATGGCGGGTTACTGTACCATGGGCTGCTTCAGCTTCGATGGTCTTTCCATCTGGGCACACCTGGAACCAAATCCAAGTTTCATACATCCGAACTCATAACTGTACCCCAACAAGCATAGTGAAATATTAGACAGAATTGATTAGCAGCATAGATGTCATCAGCCCCGGAGATCCAAAACCTGTATCGAAATTTATTGAAAAGTAACGAAACATTAGCAAACACATTTGCTAGGACCATCAAGGAAATAGCATTTTCTTCCAACAAACGCAGCACCAGACATTAAAAAGGAGAAAGCTGAAGACTAACTCACAGGCTTTAACAAAAGTAAATACAGACCTTGGGCTAAGAAGTCACTTTGCACATCCCCATCATAATTTTTGCATGCCCAAACATAACCTCCTCCGCTTTTGAGAGCATAAGCAACCATGTCGTCAATAAGATGATGCTCATACCTCCAAATCAGAGTATTAATTAGTTGAAAATCACCGGAGCTAGTCAAACTAATCAGCTTGGTTGACAAAGTATCTCACCAAATCCCTGCAGCCTCATATCTTGATCTCCAATGAGCTTCATAAACTTCCTGGAAGATGTCCTTGAATCTTCATTAAATTCAAGAGTAAGAAAATGGCAATAAAAAATCCTGTAGTGAAACGTTACATCATAAACTCATACCGACTCATAATGAAACATGGGTAATTATGAACAGAAAAGATTGCACGGTGAAAGATGCAAGGCAACATGATAACATCATACCTTCCATCATATTTCTTCAGAATAGTATTTTTAGTGCTAAGATAAAGTGGCCACTTTTTCTGGTATGCAGTGTTCATGGAAGCCTCAGCAAAAGCACGGATAGACTGCTCTCACAATTTAAGGATAATAAAAAATAGCTGTCAGCAAATCATTTACAGATGTAATTAGTTTACCAGAAATTTTTATTTTTGCTTGAACGGAAAATTTGAACCTCGTCCGTGTTATACATGGACAAAGCTATGCCTCCAGCGCCAGTAAATCTGTAAACCTCCCACTCTGTCTTCTCATTGGGCCCATCAGGTACTGCAAAGCAATTGATAAGATAATAATGTACCTATATGGTGTGTGTGTGTGTGTGTAAGAAAAGCACACCAGATTAACTTCTATACAAGTACTTTAAACATTCAAAAGTCAAACTCAGAAATCTTGAAGCTCCCTACTGAATTACCAAAAACCAATTTAAGTTTTCCAGGTCCTTCTATGATTGCATCGGTTGCTCGGTACTGATCACCAAAAGCATGTCAACCGATACATATTGGCATTGTCCAACCTGAAATGAATGTTAAGGAATGTAGTATCACAGATTCAGTTTGTAATAAACCCTAGAAATAGGTTGTGCTGTGCATGGCTGTAATAATTAGTTGAGAGTATTATGACAGGTGGCAAGTTAGTTAGAAGAATATAGTTATGTGTGAGTGGGAAAGGATGTATATAAGTAACACAATTGTAATCTATTTTTTAACTAAGAAATGAAAAACTCATTTCACATCATGGTGCCGATCTATGGTGCCGATCAAGCTGACCACCACCAATTATCTCACTTGGAGTGCGCTTTTTGCTCCGATCTTCCGTCGCTACAACCTCACCGGAATTCTTGATGGATCAGTGCCTCCTCCATCACAGATCATCTCCGATGCTGCTGGAAATTCGGTTCTCAATCCGGCATATGTTTCTTGGTTTGAAAACGATCAGAACATCCTCATCTGGATAAATTCCACACTTTCTGAATCGCTCATTCCCTACACTGTTGGTGTTACGACCTCCAGAGAACTTTGGGCCAAGTTGGAATCTAGACTCGCTGCAGCATCCCAATCGCACATTCATGAGCTTCGCTCTCGTCTTCGTTGCATTTCGAAAGGTGATTCCACTGCTGCTCAGTACCTTCAACAAATTGAAGCGATCGCAGATGCACTTGCTAGTGCTGGAGCTCCAGTTGCAGATTCTGAGCTCATTTCTGTTACACTCCATGGATTATCACCAGATTATGACTCTTTCGTTGATGCGATACAGTTTCGGCTTGGCTCCACTACAATTGATGAATTGCACGGCCTTCTCCTAAGTAAGGAGATACAGTTAGCAAATCGGAAGAAATCTACTCCACCTGTGCCCATTCAGGCCTATACTTCCACTGCCGGTATTCTTCCTACTCCATCTTCTCAAGCTTTTGTTGCTCAAGGTCGTGGCAGTGATCGCAACTTCTCTCAAGGTCGAAACTTCTCATCATCCAAATCTGGTCAAGGTCGAGGTAATTTCAGATCTAATAATTTTCGTCCAAACTATTCTCGCAACAACTCTCAGCGTTACACTCGTGGTGGTCGAACTCCTTTTCCCTCATCTGGCCGAAAGTATCCATGTCAAATCTGTCGACAATTTGAGCATGATGCTCTTGACTGCCCTCAGCGCATGAATCCACACTACTCCAGTGCTTCCTCTCCCTCTGCTATGGCTGCACATGCACAGTCTTCTCAACCTACCTGGCTTATTGATTCTGGCGCCAGTACTCATATGACAAATTCCTACACCAATCTCCAGAATCCTGAGCCCTACTCCGGTCCTGAGCAGGTCTACATTGGAGACGGCAAAGGTTTGCCTATTCTCCACTCTGGTTCCTCTACATTACGTACTCCTACTCATCATTTTCAGCTTCGAAATGTGTTGCATGTACCTGATTTGAAACAACATCTCCTTTCTGCGAATCAGTTTCTTGTTGAAAATTGGTGTTCTATGCATCTTTATCCTTTTCACTTCACTGTGAAGGATATTTCTTCGGGGAAGACGCTCTTTAAAGGTCCTGTCAACGATGGCTTTTATTCATTGCAATCCCAACCTTCCAGTTCAGCACTCAACTCTCACAATGTTTTTGCTGCATCAACTCATGCTTCTCGGAATCTATGGCACCATAGGCTTGGCCATCCTTCAATCAAGACACTCAATAAGTTGGCTGCCAAATCTTGTATTTCTGTCTCTAGTGGTTCCACTACTTCCTTTTGTAATGGTTGTGCTTTAAGCAAGAATTCTAGATTGCCATTTACCTCTGTACCGTGTCACACCAGTAAGCCATTAGAGCTTCTTCATACAGATGTTTGGGGGCCTGCGCCTGCTACTTCTTTTACTCAATGCAGATACTATGTCATCTTTGTTGATGATTTTACTAAATACTGTTGGCTCTTTCCTTTGCAATGCAAATCCGATGTGTTTTCTACCTTTGTCAAGTTTAAAACTCTTGTTGAGAACTTGCTGCATACTAAAATTGTTGCTCTCAGATCAGACTCTGGTGGGGAGTATCTTAGCACTGCATTCTCCAATTTTCTCGTTACACATGGTATTCATCATCAACTCAGTTGTCCTCACACTCCCCAACAAAATGGTTGTGCTGAGCGCAAGCACAGACATATCGTTGAAACTGCTCGGACATTATTAACGGTTTCCAAGGTCCCTCATGGTTATTGGGATCATGCCTTTTCCACTGCTGTGTATCTCATAAACAGGCTGCCATCTGCCTCTCGCTCTTCTCCATGGGAACGTCTGTTTCGAAGATCACCAACTTATACTACACTCAAGGTTTTTGGGTGCAGTTGCTTTCCATGGTTGCAACCTTATTCTTCCTCTAAGATGGATCCCAAAAGCAAGCAGTGTGTCTTCCTTGGCTACAGTCTCAATCATCGCGGTTACAAATGTCTTGATCCTACCACAAACAGGTTGTATATCTCCAGAAGTGTTCTCTTTGATGAGGATAGCTTCCCTTTTCACAACATTGCTGCTTCTCCATGTTCTCCTCTATCAACACCGGTCTCATCTTCCAGCACCATACCTACTAACCTTACCTTCACTAAACCCATCATCCGTCCTTCCCCTCCACCATCACGACCAACTTCCTCTTCTTCTAACCCATTTCCACCATCTCCTGTCCCTTCTCCATCGTCCTCCTCTTCGCATCAATCCTGCTTAGTACCTACTAATAATCATCCCATGCAGACACGTTCCAAATCCGGCATTCACAGACCAAAAGCATTTTCTGCCACCAAACACCCTCTCCCTTCGCATCTCTCTCTTGACTTTGTCCCTACTACCTATCTTCAAGCTTCCAAATATCCTCATTGGATTCAAGCCATGAAGGAAGAGTTTACTGCTTTACAACAAACTGGCACTTGGTCTCTCATTCCCAAAACCGGCCACCAAAACATTGTGGGGTGTAAGTGGGTGTTCCGAATTAAACGAAAACCTGATGGTACCATAGATAGGTATAAAGCTCGGCTCGTCGCTAAAGGTTTTCATCAACAGGAAGGCCTGGACTATACTGAGACCACTCTTGCTGCTCAGTTCAATTGGCCTCTCAATCAACTTGATGTTAGCAATGCATTCCTCCATGGCACTTTATCCGAATCTGTGTATATGCAACAGCCTCCCGGTTTTGAGGACATTACTCAACCCCATCATGTGTGTCATCTGCACAAGTCTTTATACGGCCTGAAACAGGCTCCTCGCGCCTGGTACGAGAAGCTCCATGCTGCTTTACGCACTCTTGGTTTTGTTGGCTCACAATCTGACCACTCATTATTTGTCAAAAAGGATCCAATGGTCTTTGTGTTAGTCTACGTTGATGACATTATAGTTACTGGGCCATCCACTTCAGCATGTCAACATGTTATCTCTCAGCTCAGTTCTCTATTTCCCATCAAAGATCTTGGTGCCCTTCACTACTTTCTGGGCATTGAGGTTCATCGATCTTCTAAAGGCATCTTCATTACGCAAACGAAATATATTCTTGATCTTCTCAAGAAAGCTAACATGGACGGCTCCAAACCCTGTGTCACTCCTCTCAGCACTGCGAAGCTCGATCATTCCTCTCCACTTCTGGACAATCCTGCAGAATATCGATCCATCGTAGGTGCTCTCCAATATCTCACTTGGACTCGTCCTGACCTCTCATTTGCCGTCAACCTTGTCTGCCAGTTCATGCACAGTCCTCGCCAGTCTCATCTTCAAGCTGTCAAATGGATTCTGCGTTATCTGAAGGGTACCATTGATCTTGGTCTTGGGTTCTCCAAATCAC